ACCCTAAACCCTAAACCCTAAACCCTAAACCCTAAAGCCTTGCTGCGGTTCGTCCTTGCCCGTCGTTTTCTCTGCAGCTTCCACCGATGTTTATTTGTTTGCTTAATATTATTATTATTATTATTATTATTTTGTTATTATTATTATTATTTTCTTTCTTTGCGGGTTATGAGCTAATGCTCTTCGCTCTGTCTGCTGAGGTGTTTCCTGCCTGATAACTCCTTCGCCTAAACACTGCCCGCAGCAGCAACAGCAGCAGCAACTACTACTACTGCCACAGCAGCAGCAGCAGCAGCCGCAGCAGCAGCAGCAGCCGCAGCAGCAGCAGCTCAAGCTGCAGAAGCCCCGGAAGGCAGCTTCTGGGGTGGCAGCAGTCTCTTGTGCGAGGCGCCTTGTACTCTTGTCTAACTGCTACTAAACTGCAGCAGCAGCAGCAGCTGCTGCTGCTGCTCGTGCTGCAGCAGCAAACTGCAGCAGCGCGGGGTTACTTCCCCTTGCTGCTGCTACAGCACCACCGTCTCCTGCTGCAGCACACTGTCTCGCTGCTGCTGCAGCGGACCCCTTACTGTTTCCTTTTGCTGTTGCTGCTCACTAGTGCTGCTGCCGCTCTTGCTGCTGCTGCAGCTGCTGCTGCTGCTCTCGCTGCTGCTGCTGGGGCTGTTAAGGAGACTACTTGGCTGCTCCTTTTCTTAGGAATTAACTCTACTAGTTATAACTAATAATTATTTATGAATTAAAATAAAACAAAAAACAACAAAATATCTTATAAACAAATTATGCTGCTGCAAATACAGTCGGGACTGGGGAGCCGCAGCAGCAGCAGCAGCAGCAGCAGCAGCAGCAGCGGAAGTGGCTGCTGCTGACGCTGCAGCAGCTGAGGGTTTTGTCGCTGTTTGCCCTTTCTTTGAGTGTCTTTGAGGATAAATTTACCTTTAAACTTCATTAGTTATTTTGCTCGGGGTGTACATACAGCTGGGTGGCAGCAGCAGCAGCAGCAGCAGCAGCGACAGGAGCCGTGTCGGCAGAAGGTCTTCGACTTTGCGCATGCGGCAGCAGCAGCAGGAGCAGCAGCAGCAGCAACAGCAGCAACAGCAGCAGCAGCAGTATTAGATTGCGGTGTACATACACCTCAGCTGCTTCTTCATCTCTTAGGCTGCGGCGCCACACGATCTCCGTTACTGCAGCAGCAGCTCTTTGAGCGATTGTTATCGCAGCAGCAGCAGCAGCAGGCAGCAGCAGCAGCAGAAACAGCAGCAGCAACAACACTAGAAGCGGAAGGAGACCGTCCTTCGTGGCTACAACAACCTCTAGCAGCAAGAGCAACACCAGCAACAGCAGCAGCAGCACCAGCAGCAGCAGCAGCGGTAACGGCAGAGGGAGCAGCAGCACCAGCAGCAGCAGCAACAGCCCTAGAAGCAGAAACACAAGTAGGACCAGCAGCAGCAGCAGCAGCAGCAGCACAAGAATGGAGGGGAAGCCTTTGGTGCTGCGGCTTCGTGCTGCTGCTGGGCACAGCAGAATCACCTGCAGCAGCAGCAGCACCGCCGCTGAGCTGTACACGCAGGTGGCGCTGCAGTTTAAAACACCCGAGGATGCGCTGCAGCTATTCACAGATGCGGCCAAACAGCAGGTGCTGCTGCTGTTGCTGCTGCTGCTGCTGCTACTGCCGCCGCTGCTGTTGCTATCGCTGTTGCTGCTGATTCTGTTGGTGCTGCTGTTGCTGTTCCTGTTGCTGTTGCTGTTCCTGTTGCTGTTGTTCCTGTTGTTGCTGTTGCTGCTGTTGCTGTTGCTGTTGTTGCTGCTTATGCTGCTGTTGCTGCTGCTGTTGCTGCAGAGTTCGCATAGGTGCTTTTGCTTATAATGAGATCTTGACGTTGGCTGCACCATTGGTTGTGCTGCTGCTTTTGCTGCTGCTGCTGTTACTGCTGCTGCTGCTGCTGCTGCTGCAGTTGGTGCCCCGCACATCGTCATCTCTGGAGGAGCTGGGTTTATACTCGGGGAGTCTCTTGTTTGTTGAGACAGCAACAGCAGAAGCTGCTGCTGCTGCTGCTGCTGCAGTTGCTGCTGCAGCTGGGCGCTCCTACCCACAGAGTGGCCCAGAGGGAAGAAGCGGTAGGGCTTAGGGCTTAGGGTTTAGGGTTTAGGGTTTAGGGTTTAGGCCTTTCAGGGTTTAGGGTTTGGAGACAGGTGAAAGGAGACAGAAAGAGACAAGGGTGAAGAAAGGAGGCAGAAGGAGACAGCAGCATCAAATGCATTTGCTTCGTTATAATTCAATCTTATATTGTCTCTGTGTGTCTTGCTGCTGCTGCTGCTGCCGCTGTTGCTGTTGATGTTGCTGTATCTGCTGCTGCTGCTGCTGCAGATGCGCCGTCGTCCAGCAGCAGCAGCAGCAGCAGCAGCAGCAGCCAGCCTATGGATAGAAGCAGCAGCAGCAAGAGTAGCGGCAGCGCGAAGCCTTCAGGCAAGCGCAGCAACGGCAGCAGCGGGGACAGCAGCAGCAGCAGCAGCAGCAGCAGCAGCGGGGACAGCAGCAGCAGCAGCAGCAGCAACAGCGTGTATCAATCCTTTGATAGATTTGTAGAGGAGAGACAATTTGCTGTTTTAGATTTGCCGCTGCTCAAGAGCTACAAACCCACTAAGCTGCAGGCGGGACAGATGAACAGAGTACAAACCCTAAACCCTAAACCCTAAACCCTAAACCCTAAACCCTAAGTGTGCAGTTGATGAAGGAGTTCATTGAGGGTTGCAAAACTTTCAAAGAGTCTCCGTGTGGCTTCTGGCGAAGTTCCTCTTTTGCGTGTCATGCTGCTGCTGCTGCTGCTGCAGCTGCTGCTGTTGCTGCTGGGTTGCAGCTGCATGCGCGTTCCCTGCTATATCTGCTGCATATATATATATATATATCTGCTGCAGCAGCTGCAGCAGCAAAAGTATATATATATGTAATGCTGATGAGCGTTGTTGTTTTTGCTGCTTGTGCAGTTTGTGTGTATGCATGTGTTTGCATTTCCTTTGCTGCTGCTGTTGCTGCTGCTGTTGCTGCTGCTGTTGCTGCTGCAGCTGCCTCAGACCCTGAGTCTGAAGCACCAGGTGTATCGGCACGTAGACCATTTAGAGTTGATGAATGTTAGCGAAGCACGGGACTTTGTCTCCTTCTGGAGGGACAGTCTCTGCATGCAGCAGCAGCGCTTTGGCCTAATGTTTGGCTATTACACAGAAGACAATCATTATAATAAAGGCATTCGAGCAGTTTGTGAAGCTATCTACGAACCCCCGCAGGTATGCTCCATCTGCTGCTGCTGCTGCTGCTGTTGCTGTTGGTGCTGCTGCTGCTGCTGCTCCTGCTGATGCTGCTGATGTTGCTGGTGTTGCTGTTGGTGCTGCTGCTGTTGCTGTTGGTGCTGCTGCTGTTGCTGTTGGTGCTGCTGCTGTTGGTGCTGCTTTTGTTGTTGCTGCTGGTGTTGCTGCTGTTGGTGCTGCTGTTGCTGCTGGCGCTGCTGCTGGTGGTGCTGCTGCTGGTGGTAGTGCTGCTGGTGTTGCTGCTGATGATGCTTCTTTTTCTGCTGGTGCTGCTCTTCTTGTTGCTGGTGGTGTTGGTGCTGCTGCTGTTAATGCTGCTGCTGCTTTGCTGCTGCCGCTGGAGTTGCTGCTGGGTGTTGTGCTGCTTTTGCTGCTGCTGCTGACGTTGCTGCTGCTGCTGTTGATGTTGCAGCTGCTACTGCTGCTGTTAATGATGCTGCTACTGGTGGTGATTGTGCTGCTAATTGTTCTGCTGCTGTTGTTGCTGGCGCGTTTTGCTTCGGTTGCTTGCTGCTGCTGTTGCTGTTGCTGCTGCTGCTGCTGCTATCCCTGTTCTTCGTACCTTGGTTTGTTTGTTTTGTTTGTTTGTTTGTTTATATATTTATTTGTTTTTGTTTGCATATATTAATTATAATTATATATTTCTTTGTTTTGTTTGTGTTCATACAGGAGGGAGAAGGAGAGGGATGGCGATTAATAGAGAGCGGAGCAGCAGCAGCTGCAGCAGACCAGCAAGCAGCAGCAGCAGCAGCAGCAGCAGAAGCAGAGACTGCAGCAGCAGTTGCTGCTCGCCTGGGCTTAGAGCTCATTGGCTGCATCTTCACGCATAAACCCAGGCAAGAGCCTCTAACCCCAGCAGAGATTCTCTTCCTCGCCAGGTAAACCCTAAACCCTAAACCCTAAACCCTAAACCCTAAACCCTAAACCCTAAGCCCTAAACCCTAAACCCTGAGGCTTCTTTAAAGTAAAACCCTAAAACCTAAACCCTGAGCCTGGTATATGAAGGCCCTAAACCCTATGCCTTGCTTTGCGGCTGGAAGAGATGTAAACCCTAAACCCTAAACCCTAAACCCTAAACTGTAATCTAAAAGTATTTTCTGTAGATCCTCACCCCTAAAGCACAAAGTCTCCTTTGGATTGCTAAGACAACTGGCGGGGAAAAGAAAGCTCTTCCCGCTGCTGCTGTTGCTGCTGCTGCTGCTGCCGCTACTGCTGCTGCTGCTGTTGCTGCTGCTGCTGCAGGCTGCAGCTGAAGCATTTGCATGGAGGCCACTACACGGGGTATCCGATGCCCAAGCTGGTTGCTTGTACTGTGGCGCTGCAGCACACGGATGAGCAGCAGCAGCAGCAGCAGCAGCAGCAGCAGGAGCAGGAGGTGGTTCCTAATGCCTTTATGGTTTCAGACTTAGTAAGATTTTATTTATTTATTTATTTTTTTTTTGTTGTTTTTATTTATTTTCTTCTGCCTCTCTTCTGTGTGCTTCGCGCTTGGTTTTAGGGTTTAGGGTTTAGGGTTTAGGGTTTAGGGTTTAGGGTTTAGGGTTTAGGGTTTACCTCGATATATCCCCTGTCTTCTTAATTTAATTTTATTTTTTTAGATTTCTTCTTTCTCTGTTTTTCTTTTTGCTGTTTGTCTCTCGCTCGTTTATTCTGCGCAGCTGTTTGTCTCTTTGTTTTGTTTGTATAATATTAATATAATATAATATATAT